AAGCCGTTCTTTCATGGCTTCATCTTACACATATCTCTCAACTACTGTTGCTTGATCTACAATTCCAACATCTTGTGTGGAGTCAACCTGTATACTGAATTGTTTTTCTCCGATTACAGACACAATTAAGTTTTTCATGCTTTGAACTATTGCTGCAAATACTTTCTTTATTGTATTATTGGACAAAAATGTCACAAGAGATCCACGTCCAGTTGAATGTTTTCCTGATGTTTTTCTGTCTTTCAATCGCTGTTTTCTTTTTTCACTGTCCTGAACACATTTATCAAGGTGATTTTTAAGAGGAACATCATACTGTGATAGAAGTAGGACAATTTCCAGAAAGTTCCCATGGTTTATTTCAATGTTATTTAAATTGTACAGCGATTCATTAGTGCCATTAGCACGAAATGTCAATCCCTGTTTTCCGAGCAGTTTTACAATATTAAATATACGGTTTAATATCTCAATATTTTGTAGTATCTCCTTCTTTCTTCTGGAGACTTGAGCCTGATTTATTAATGTGTCAATGCTTCTATTCGTTTTCATGGTAAAATAAGCACTAACAGCATAAGAATGACTTTTTGAAGATTCGTGCTTATTTGCTGCCTGATAGCAATGTCAAAAATTAGAACAACCACGAGTGAATGAGGAAGAGGAATTAGAAAAGGCAATGCATATGCTGCAAAAAAATGCTTCTAACTTTCGATCCTTTATCTTACAACTCAGCCATGAATGCTTAATGCGATCCCCATTAGACTTTTTGCGGTAATAAAAGTCTGCTTCTTGAAAAGGAACTTCTGGTTGGCTGATAAGGGTGTTTTTCAACAACATAATTTTTGTCTGCTATGGAACATGCAGGAGGAAGACTAAAAGATATTTCTGACATGTCTTCAGGTGTGATACATTCTAATTCAGGAAGGTCTTCAAAAACATTTGGGTCATTCATCTGCGCTTGCTCTCTGCATTCTGACACCAGCTCCTCCTCAATGACCTGTTCTTCTGCTGGTTTGCTCACCTCATCTTCGACAGACACAACTGGCATGCTTGAAGGAGCACTTGGGCCAGCAGAAACCTCATCAACAGGAATTCTTGGGTGTATACCACCAGCCTAAAACAAAAACATTTTTGTCAACCTATTTTAATCTCCCCCAAAAAGTTCTAGATGTAACCAAAAAACTCCAGGAACTCCATGCATGGTAACAATAATAAAATTAAAAAAATCCTCATGCAAACAAAGGATATACAATATATACTTACCTTACATGTAAGATTTTATGAGATTTCAAATAAGTAAAAATATGTCTTAAAAAAGTAGATCTGATCACTATGGAAAGTCAAGCATGCACACTCCTTGATAATCCATCATGAATCTTAACAAACCTAAAACTTCATCATGCAAACAGACTACCGTATATATTCTCTAGAAATTTTAGTCGTAAACTTCATTTTAAAACGCAGATCCACGGGTCCATGCTAGTTTCGATAGAATTTTGTTCATATTAAATGCGGAGCAATACAGAGTTACCAGTTGTGCTAGTGTACATAGCTGTACGTTGACCCAGATACCGGGTACACACACGGACAACAGCAGGCTGATTTAGTATACAGTGCAGCGATTGCTGATGACTGCCACCTATCGGTACCCTTTCCACGTCACTGTTGCAGCGGTGGCTGTAGTGAGCCACAAGCAGGACCACTAGCTGGCGAGATAATGCTAGCCAAATGTTCCTGCCGCATTCAGGCATGGTCATCTAATAGCTTTGGAGCTGGGCATGTGCACTGAGATGCAGAGAAGTAGGTACCATAACTGTTTGATTGTTCCAGGATCTTTGCCTAGGTAAAATCTGACAAAATAATAAAAATCACAGGACTTCATAGCGCCAAGTTTTATCCACGACTTATCCACGAGTAATAGCATATTTCACAATTGTTGGCATAGGCGTGCGCAGCCTATTGCATTAGGGTGTGCACCCTAAAGCACAAGCACACGCCGCATATATATATGTATGTATGTATATATATATATATATACACATACACATATATACACACATACACACACTGCTGTGTCTGTGTGTGTGCTGTGTGAGGGTGCTGTTAGTGTGATGTGTGTGTGACGGTGCTGGTAGTGTGCTATGTGGGTGAGGGTGTTTGTGTGTGCGTGCTTGTGAGGATGCTGTTAATGTACTGTGGGTGAGGGTGCGGTTTGTGTGTGTTTGTGTGCGCTTGTGAGGGTGCTGTTAATGTACTGTGTGTGAGGGTGCTGTTTGTGTGTGAGGGTACTGGTAGTGTGCTGTGTGTGTGTTAGGGTCCTGTTTGTGTTTGTGAGGGTACTGTTAGTGTGCTGTGTGTGTGTGAGGGTGCTGTTTGTGTGTTTGTGAGGGTGCTGTATGTGTTGGTGCTGTGTATGTCTGTGGGTGCTGTATGTGTGTGGGTGCTATGTATGTCTGTGGGTGCTGTATGTGTGTGGGTGCTGTGTATGTCTGTGGGTGCTGTATGTCTGTGGGTGCTGAATGTATGTGGGTGCTGAATGTATGTGGGTGCTGTATGTCTGTGGGTGCTGTATGTGTGTGGGTGCTGTATGTGTGTGGGTGCTGTGTATGTGTGTGGGTGCTGTGTGAGGGTGCTGTTAGTGTGATGTGTGTGACGGTGCTGGTAGTGTGCTATGTGGGTGAGGGTGTTTGTGTGTTTGTGAGGATGCTGTTAATGTACTGTGTGTGAGGGTGCTGTTTGTGTGTGTGTGTGCACTTGTGAGGGTGCTGTTAATGTACTGTGTGTGAGGGTCCTGTTTGTGTTTGTGAGGGTACTGTTAGTGTGCTGTGTGTGTGTGAGGGTGCTGTTTGTGTGCTGTGTGTGAGGGTGCTGTGTGTGTTTTGTGAGGGTGCTGTATGTATGTGAGGGTGCTGTATGTGTGTGTGGGTGCTGTATGTGTGTTGGTGCTGTGTATGTCTGTGGGTGCTGTGTATGTCTGTGGGTGCTGTGTGTGTGTGTGGGTGCTGTGTGTGTCTGTGGGGTTTTGTGTATGGGTGCTGTATGTGTATGGGTGCTGTATATGTATGAGTGCTGTGTGTGTGGGTGCTGTATGTCTGTGGGTGCTGTATGTGTGGGTGTTTGTGTGTATGTGGCTGGGGTGCTGTATGTGGTATTGGGTGCCAGCTGTGTGTGTGGCTGTGTGTGGGTGCTGCTGAGATGTCTGTGGGTGCTGTGTATGTCTGTGGGTGCTGTATGTGTGTGGGTTGTGTGTATGTCTGTGGGTGCTGTATGTGTGTGTGGGTGCTGTATGTGTGTGGGTGTGTGTGTATGTCTATGGGTACTGTATGTTTGTGGGTGCTGTGTGTATGTCTGTAGGTGCTGAATGTACTGTAGGTGCTGTGTATGTTTGTGGGTGCTGTATGTGTGTAGGTGCTGTGTATATATCTGTAGATTATTTCCAGTGTCTATTAGGTGTTGCTGTGTATGTCTGGGTGCTGCTTAATAACCATGGGTGCTGTATGTGTGTGGGTGCTGTATGTGTGTGGGTGCTGTGTATGTGCTGTGTGCTGTGTATGTCTGGGTGCTGTGTATGTCTGTGGGTGCTGTGTATGTCTGTGGGTGCTGTATGTGTGTGGGTGCTGTGTATGTCTGTGGGTGATGTATGTGTGTGGTGTGCTGTGTGTGTATGGGTGCTGTATGTGTGTGGGTGCTGTATGTCTGTGGGTGCTATATGTCTGTGGGTGCTGTATGTCTGTGGGTGCTGTATGTGTGTGGGTGCTGTATGTGTGTGGGTGCTGTGTATGTCTGTGGGTGCTGTATGTGTGTGGGTGCTGTGTATGTGTGGGTGCTGTGTGTGCTGTATGTGTGTGTGCTGTGTATGTGTGTGTGTGCCTGTGTGTGCTGTATGTGTGGGGGTGCTGTCTGTGTATGCTGTATGTGTGTGGGTGCTGTCTGTGTGTGCTGTGTATGTGTGGGTGGTGTATGTGTGGGTGCTGTATGTGTGTGGGTGCTGTATGTGTGTGGGTGCTGTATGTGTGGGGGTGCTGTCTGTGTGGTAGTGCTGTCTGTGTGTGCTGTATGTGTGTGGGTGCTGTCTGTGTGTGCTGTGTATGTGTGGGTGCTGTATGTGTGTGGGTGCTGTGTATGTTTGTGGGTGCTGTATGTGTGTGGGTGCTGTATGTCTGTGGGTGCTGTATGTGTGTGCTGTATGTGTGGGGGTGCTGTCTGTGTGTGCTGTATGTGTGTGGGTGCTGTCTGTGTGTGCTGTGTATGTGTGTGTGCTGTATGTGGGTGAGTGATTGTGTGGGTGGAGGTGGAGGTACATAACTTGCTATCCCCCCTCCCTTCTTACCTTTTGTAGGGAGGGGGGATCGTGCTGCTGATTCCATCACTGGTGGTCCAGTGGAGAGTGAACTCTAGCCCCCCGTGGGGCTAGAGTTCACTCTCGCGAGATTTGAGCGTTGCCATGGCAACGCTCATATCTCGCGAGAGGAACCCGGCGGAGCTGCCGGCAATAGCTCCGCCGGGTCCTCTCCTGCCTCCCTCTCTGCATGTGGGTCAGTGGGGAGGGAGGCTGAGAGCAGAGCCGGCGCTCGGATAGCGCCGGCTCTGCATGAGCCAACAGGGGAGATCCTGAGATCTCCCCTGCCGGTCTCAATATGCATAGGCATGCCGCGGGATTAGGGTGTGCCCAGGCACACCCCGTGCGCACGCCTATGATTGTTGGTCAAAAAACTGCACTCTACTTATAGACGAGGTCAACTTATAGACGAGTATATATATATGGTAGATATATTAATTCTTGTTATCAAAAGAGTGAATATACATTTCTGTGACAAAAAAATGTTAGAACCAGCCTTAACTTTTAAACTTTTAACATACCCCCGAAAAAGATAGTTTAATTTGCTTAGGATCCCTTCTTGCTAACTCAAGTTCTTTGGACCGCTTTTCTTGTATTTTCTGAGCATCACCTTTCTCTTTAGATTTTGTTTTACTCTCCATATTTATCAATATGAAACCAACTGTAAAATTTATTGAACACCAAAACATGACAATGAGTTACATAAAACCAGCAAACATTTACTAATGTAGTGATTTCACTCCTAAATAGCAGATCTATACAGGGGCATGATCTATACACCAAAACTGCTTCATTAAAGGGACACTATAGTCATCCAGACCACTTCAGCTCAATGAAGTGGTCTGGGTGCCAGGTCCTTCAGGTTTTAACCCTTCACATGTAAACATAGCAGTTTCAGAGAAACTGCTATGTTAACATTAGTGGTTAATCCAACCTCTAGTGGCTGTCTTCCTGACAGCCGCATCTGCGACGCTGGTTGCGAATTTCGCATTCATCACGCAGAGCGTCCATAGGAAAGCATTGAGAAAAGCTTTCCTATGGAATGTTTGAATGCGCGCCTGGCACTTGCCGCGCGTGCGCATTTCGCTCCACTTGGGAGCTGACATCAGCAGGGGTGGAGAGGTCACCAGCGCAGAGGGAGCCCAGCGCTGGATAAAGGTAAGCTGCTGAAGGGGGAGGGGGACCCTAAGGGTGGGGGTCCCCCAAGTATTATATAATGTCAGGAAAACCACTTTGTTTTCCTGACACTATAGTGATCCTTTAATCCCTTAAGGACACATGACATGTGTGACATGTCATGATTCCCTTTTATTCCAGAAGGGGTTAAGCAGGGGCATGATCTATACACCAAAACTGCTTCATTAAGCAGGGGCATGATCTATACACCAAAACAGCTTCATTAAGCTAAAGTTGTTGTTTTGTTGACTATAGTGACTCTTTAAGTGAGCATTTTACAATCACTTAGCTCACACCTCACCTATTGTAAAATGAAAGAAGATTGCAGATTTAGTGTCAGGAGAGACTGGCCGGTGGCCAATATATTTATATTTAGTCAAAAACATAATGGTGGCACTTTGCAAATTGACATGTTCGGCAATGACACGAACAAAGGGTACGGGGAGAGACAGACATAGTGCCTGTAATTTACACTAATTCTATGCCCCGGGTACCAATATACAGCCTGCTTGCTGCCAGAGGTAAAAATGTACAAAGCAGCCTGGTGTTTTACACCACCCAATACACAGCAGCACCTGTCGGTAAAAGCCAAATTACTCATCTTTACATGGACACAAAAACAAAAATATAATTTCACCTGGGATTTTGACAAATAAAACTCAAAAATACTTTATCTGCATCTGATCATTAAGTACATAATGAGCCTGACAACCCTGGTTTGAAAATCAGACAATTTTAACGTGTCAGTTATAGCCATGTGTTTTAAATAAAGCAGCTATGCGAGGGGTTTCATCTTGTATTAGTAGCGCCGCGGCAGCGGCATGAAAAGCTTCAATTATGTTTTTGTACTGGGAAAGATGCCGGCAGTAAGTTAATATTGGTAAAGCACTGCAGTTCTCTGATTACATGGTTTAGGCGGCCGGGAGGCTCTTTTAACGGCTGCCTAAATCGCCTAATTAGAGGGCCGCCTCTGGCCAAGAGATCCTGTCTCTGTGCAGCATATCAATGTATCACTGAGCTCTACAGCAATAGAACTCACAGTAATGTACAATTTGTAAGTGTATCACACATCACCTCATCAATACAATGCACAGGACTGGGCAGTGTTTCAGTATATCTCAGCCAATCCACTCCTTTCCTATAGGAAAGCATTGAGAAGCTATTGCGCATGCATGGCAAAATGCTGCGCTGCACCAATCAGCATCTCCCTATAGAGATGCATTGAATTAATGAATCTCTATGGGGAGTGTACAGCGTGGCGCTAATCGGCAGCGCTGCACATCTGAGGAGTGGCCACTAGAGGTGTTCCTAGGCTGTAATGTAAACACTGCTTTTTCTCTGATACATTAAAATGCCTATAGGGAATGGTGCAGGGGAGGTCAGAAGGAGGAGCCACCGAGCCAGTCCGTCCTACACTATGCGGCAATGCCGACCGCATAGTGAAGGATCGGAATTCTGAAGGCACTGCCTTGGTGGCCCCCAGGAAGAACTGTGCCAGGGCAGCTGCCTTTAGCCCTGCGTTAAAGACGGCCCAGCGGCCGTTTTTAACATGCTTTAGGGCGGCCTGGGGGGCAATTGCCTCCCTGTCCCCCGGCCCAGCCCGCCCCTGGTTCTCCATAAGTACTTTTATTCTAGACCCTTAGGAGGAAGACCAAAGGGCTATCAGGGAACAGGGACATGCATGAGTTGGGGGGAGTGGAGTAAGTTCATAGAAAGGAGGTCCTGTAAGAGTGGGGAAGGTCTATGGGCTAAGAGGGATGGCCATATTGGGGAAGCCATTTCTTGTATCCCTCAGCCATCTTAATTATCCGGCTTGGGAACAGCTTCCCACCCACCCTCCCTTTGTTATGTTTCTGTGTTAGGTTAATTGTTTGTAATAACTTTGTTTTCTTGTCACAGCAGGCGGATGAAGGTCCTTGCCAGTCAGGGTTGGACCAGCGGTCCAGTGGAAAGGTTCAGAGTTGATCCCTCCCCTAGCTTCGGGTTTAAGTTATGGTACAGGACGTGCCCACTAAGCCCAAAGCCAGTGGTTAGCATGGATGGTATTGGAAGGCCAGTTGTGGTGTATGGACGAGGGGGGAGGCAAGCGCCCATATTATGGTAGATGGTTGGCAAGGATCTAGTGATGGAAGTTACAGTTAATGAATATATTATATTAATATATCATGTTGATATCGTTATTGTTTTAAATAAAGTTGTGGCCTATTTGTCACCACTTAAATCTTGCGTCAAGTTATTCTGGGTAAGTTATTATAAGTAAAAGGTTTCCCTCCTACACTGTCCCCACTACCTTCACACATGAAGTTATTGACTTTTCAGCATATTATTTATGTTTCAAGGACTAGTTTGGTTGCATTGTTTTACAAAAGAAAGAGAAATATAGAATGTTGATCACACTACTTATAGGCTATAAGTGTGATGTCATACCTACAAGTTTCTGTCATTTTTAAGTTTTTTCTAACGATAGTTTTTTTGTCATGCAGAGCACTGATGAGACCTCACTTGGATTATTGTACGCAGTACTGGAGACTATCTTCAGAAGGTTATTGATGCTTTAGAGAGAGTTCAGAGAAGAGCTACTAAACTGGTTCATGGATTGCAGGATAAAACTTACAAGGAATGGTTAAAGGAACTTAACATGTATAGCTTGGAGGAAAGACGTGACAGGCGCACAGTCGGATTTGCCGGCATATGCGCTAACCTTACCCAAACCCCCATTAAAACACGGACACAGGTTATACTGTTGGAAATAATTTGTCCACAGCTTTATTAAATTATTAATAAATAATTAAGGAATAACAAATGGGGTCATTGCCAACAAATCTTAATAATGTTAACCTCCCCCATATACATAACATACCCCTAGCAATGACCCCACAATAATAACAATAGATAACAATATAAATAACATGTTAACACAGAAACTGGCCGTCCAATTTGACCACATTTCCACCAGGTTAAATTGTAGGGGTGTACCGAGACACCGCTACCCACCATATCCATTGTAGGGGTGTACCAAGACACCGCTACCCACCATATCCATTGTAGGGGTGTACCAAGACACCGCTACCCACCAGTTCCAGTGTAGGGTGTACCAAGACACCACCACACCCCCAGGTTCGGAGCCACCGACGGGCTCGAACCTACCAACCACGTGCAACACTGCCCAATCCACACTAAACCTCAGGATGCCCACTTTCTCCTCCATCTACCCTCCGATTTAACCAGGCCATTCCCCGCCACAGCTCAGGACTTGACACCTAAAGCTCCTGAGCGACCCCCACCACACCGGAATAAGGCCTGTTGAATGCCTTCCTGAAGGCCCAATTTAAACAGATCACACCTTACATCCGAAAATGTACCCCATCCCACCTGGAGTACCCAGGGAGCTTTCCTCCCAATTTGTTGTGTCTCACTGTTACACCGCCCCCACATCTGATAAATACCGCCATAAATTTTTTATTAAGTCGTCCTCGACACCGAGCTACCACGGCCGGGTACGTAGTATGTCTCCAATGTAACCAAGGAACCATCTCGGACCGCACCACCACCACACCTGTGGCCAGCTCCCATAGCTGGTCCACCTCCCTCTGCCTCCACCTGATCAATTCCTTTTCCGGGACCATGCCAATATCCAGAATGTCCTGGAAAGTACCCCTTGTTACCTCCCGGAAAAATTTCTCCCCTAATGTCTTGCCACCAAAATCTCTGAAAAACAAAACCACTCCTGCTCCACCAATTTCAAAGGAAAGCCCAGTTACGTTTGAACTGAAACGCGGCTCCCATCTGTGCCCCTTAGATATAAGAATGACCCACCAACCATGTCACCAAACCTGAAATGAAAGTAATTAGCGACAAGGCATAGCCCCAAACACAAACCCATACGTCCATAGCCATTAAACCAAATAGACTGGCCTGAAACAGGACTTAAACCGTACTGACTCCCACCTGCCTAAACGTTTCCCTAGGTCCTCACTTAAAACCAGGTGGGGTGCCTCCGTTACCGCCATCACCTGGGAAGAATGGGTCCCAAAGTGCCCGGGATCCAAACCCAACATTGTCAAACCCCTTCAAACCAACACCTGCGGGAATTGAATCGTGACAGCACCGATCTGTCCCCTTTTACCAGTAAGCCACCCGGGATGTCCGGGCAAAGCTCCAAGTAGCATGATGCGCTTAACACCGGGCGTACCCCTGACCCCGGCAGGGAATATAGCTTTACCAAACCTCCTTTACCAGACACATTCGTTCTTAAACAACCCTACTGAATCGTTACCTTAACCGACTAAGGTTCGACAACCAAGTGTAGAACTCCCCAACACCTGCCCGAAGGCACTCACCAGTTCCCCAATCCAAATTGCCCCAAGCCTCCGAGAAGGCCACCGCAAGCAAACTCACTGCAAAAGTAGGGTAATACACCACCAGGCGTTGCGTTACCCAAGGAAACCCGCCGCCCGGCACCGACATATTTCATATCTCTCCGTAAGACCCGCGATGCCTGACGGACGTGACAACGTTCCGTCACTTCCTCCCAATCAGTCAGTTTAAACCCTAACGACAATGCCACCATGCTCCTGTCCATTGCTGATGGAGCTAACGCTGAACAAACAAACGGCTTAGGAACCACAGCAAGGTATCCCTTCGCCCCTCCTTTGACTGGGCCCCCACAGTGAAACCAACCGCCTTGTCCCACA